TTGTCGAGACGGTGCAACCGAAAGAGAGAGGGAGAGAGAGAAAAGCTCGAGGATCTACTTCCAGACGGACGGGTTGTGAAAAAGCACAAATGGTAAATCCGCGAGAGTCTTCCCCGAGACGCATGTTGGAAATGCGTTTGTCGCGACGCGTCAGGATTGTCCTCCTGCCGAGAATTCCGCTTGCGAATGCTTCGACGCGCGACTTTTGTGCTAGATAATTCACTCTCTCTAATGTTCTGTCGAGCTTGTCCAAATCCTTTATTTCTCCTCATCCGTAATACTTGCACGGTAGTAAAGGTTATGCCGAATGGTGCTTCCATCGACGTCTGACATTCGTCATCGTGTCACAGTGTGTGTTTAGCAGCGATATAGCGTTTTGCAGGCTTCTCGCAGCTCGTGAATTTAAACGCAAATTATTTTCTATGCAGATGTCGACCGAGAATGACAGCGAGATGGATTGCTCGGATTCAGATTGCGGGGATCCGGGCTACGAGGACTATTACAATGTCCAACCTTGGGGTGGCGACATAGATAATGATGTAGATCCCGAACAAAACAGGAGAGATCCGGAGTATGCAGTGTACGACTGCTTGCGAGTCGAGGAAGTGGAACGACTTCTGAATGAGAGCGTAGAGCTATTAAGTAATAGTCTTCACGTTACGCCATCCCTAGCCAAAGTGTTGTTACATGCGCACAACTGGGCGTCACAGGATATCGTCACAAAGTATCGTATCAATGCTTCCAGTTTATTGATTAATTCAAAGATTAAACCTACCCTGGAACAAGTGCCAGGAACGAAGAGTCAGCGAGGTGGTCTGTGTTCGGTTTGTGTTCTGGTTTTTCCCGCAGATAGATTCTCCACGCTTACATGTGGACATTCGTTTTGCAAAGACTGCTGGTGTATGCATTTTGAAGTACAAATAACTCAAGGTATATCTACTGGTAAGTAACATGGCTACTGAGCAGTAGATACTACTGTGATCCCATTTGCTTTATGTTTGTTGAAGTCAAAAATTTATTGCTCATTATCCTTAATCTTACATAGGTATAAGCTGTATGGCACAAGATTGCGATGTCTTAGCTCCAGAGGATTTTGTTCTTTCCCTACTTACTAAGCCTAACATGAGAGAGAGGTATCAACAGTTTGCCTTCTGTGATTATGTTAAATCTCATCCGCAATTGCGATTTTGTCCTGGTCCAAATTGCCAAATAGTTTTGCGCTCGAAGGAACAACGAGCAAAAAGAGTCATGTGTTCATCATGTAAAACTGTATTCTGGTAATTAATTGCATATATATAAATATTATATTATTTTTGAATATTTTACATTGCATAAAAACACTGTCATCATAATTCCAGCTTCCGATGTGGTATGGATTACCATGCACCTACCGATTGCAGTACAATTAAAAAATGGCTGACGAAATGTGCGGATGATTCTGAAACGGCAAATTACATTAGTGCTCATACCAAAGATGTAAGTTATCCAGTTTGTTCAAAGATTAGTTTGTAAAGTTATAGGACAAAAATGCTCAATATATTGTAAAATCTTTTCAGTGTCCAAAATGTCATATTTGCATAGAGAAGAACGGTGGTTGCAATCATATGCAATGTTACAATTGTAAACATGATTTTTGTTGGATGTGCCTTGGAGATTGGAAAGCACACGGTAGTGAGTATTATGAATGTTCGCGTTACAAGGAGAATCCGAACATCGCACATGAGAGTGTTCATGCGCAAGCCAGAGAAGCTCTCAAAAAATATCTTCATTATTACGAACGAGTAAGTTTGAATTTATGATAATGTATTCGAATTAAAACTCAGCTCCATCTTTTATGCTTTCCAATTACATCCAATTTTTTAGTGGGAGAATCATAGTAAATCGTTAAAGTTGGAAGAGCAAACATTAGAAGGAATTAAGATGAGAATTAACAATAAAGTGATGAATGCAAGTGGTACATGGATAGACTGGCAACATCTATTTGAGGCGGCGTCGCTCTTAGCGCGTTGTCGTTACACTTTGCAATACACTTACCCATACGCCTATTATATGGAATCCGGCCCACGCAAAGAACTGGTAAGATCTCGCGTTAATGGTAACGTCCACAAAATGTGTGATAATAAATAATTGATGAACTCTTCTACTAATAGTTTGAATATCAGCAAGCTCAATTAGAGGCGGAAATAGAGAATCTCTCGTGGAAGATTGAACGAGCGGAAACAAC